TACCCGTCTTTCTGACCCTCTGTCCTTTCCCACCCTCTTCTCCCACTGTCTCTGGTGTCTACAATTTTCTTCTATTCCTTTTCCACCCACATTGTATTGATCACACAATTTCTTAAATAATCTAACTACTTTCAATGGTAAGTTCATATGGTACTATTAAGAAAACCAGTTTTAACCTAAATTATAGAAATGCTAAGGAACTCTTCTTAAAGCCAGGAAACAGGTTAGGATTCTGTTCAAATGGTAGGTGCATGAACCTATTAGTCTCATGTACTTTATCTTCTGTTCTGGTTCCATTTTTCCTATTAAATTCTGGGATATAATATTCAACTCCAGACTTGTCCCTATGATTAAGCTGGCCGCTTTCTTAGTTTTTGAACTCTCCTTGCCTCATTATCTTTTTTAATGGCTAAATAATATTGAAATTATGGATGTTTCATATTTTTTAGAGTTTTTTTTAAAGAATTATTTTATCTCACTTATTATCATTATTTGCTTAATTTGATCAGAGAGAGACACTGAGAAAAGGAAAGTAGGAAAGTCAGCCTCCAGGTATAGGACCTGAACTGCAGTCAGCCATATGGGAGTCTAGTACCTTAACCACCATGCTACCTGCTGGCCCCAAGAGATTTTTGCTACAGGGTATGTGCGCTTATCAGAGAGACAGAGAGACAGAAAGACAGAAAGCAACAAATCACCCTCCAGGAAGGATGGCTATGACACAATCCCTTCTCTTCCATTCTCCTGTTGGGATTTTGGGCACGCACGCACGCACACACACCCGGCATGAGTTTTAAGTTGCGAGTCCAAGATTTGAACTATAGTCGACTGCGTGCAAGTCCATTACGCCATCTGCTGGTCCCGGATGTTTCATATTTTAACATGATTCTGAACCTTCTGCTGAGACCAGTGGTGCTGCAGTAACAAATCGGCTACAAGTTATTTTGCATAAGGGACAAGTCTGTCTATAGGATCTATTTTTAGAAGTGAAATTTTGCAGGGACCAGCTGCTGTCATAATGGCTATGTTGCTGGACTCCCATGTAGTTGACCGTGGTTCGAGCCCCGGACGTGGTGACTTAAATTCATGCCAGGTGCGTGTGCGTGCGTGCCCAGGATCCCAAGAGGAGAATGGAGGAGAAGGGATTGTGGTGTGGCCATCCTCCCTGGGGGGTGATTTCTTGCTTTCTGTCTCTGTCTCTCTGGCGAGTGCATGTGGCCTATGTTAGATGGCCAGGCTGTAATCACTTCCCCATTCTCCTCTCAAGATCTTGGGCACGCATGCACAAGCACCCGGCGTGTGTTTAAGTCACTGAATCTGGGACTCAAAGCACGGTTGACTACATGGGAGTCCAGCAACATAGTCATTACGCCATCTGGTGGTCCATCCCCCCCCCTTTTTTTGGAGAGATTTTTGCTTTAGGGTGCATACACTTCCCAGAGAGACAGCAAGAAATCACCCCCCATGGGGATAGACATGCCACAGACCCTTCTCCTTCATTCTCCTCTCAGGATTTTGGGCATGCACGCACATGCGCCTGGAGTGAGTTTTAAGCCTCAGGGTCCAGGACCCAAACCATGGTCGGCCATGTGGGAGTCCAGTGATCTAAGCATTAAGCAATCTGCTGGCCCCAAGTTTCCTGTTTAATTTGAACAGATTTTGTCAAACTGTCACCTACAGAGGTGTAACCAACGTAAGCTCCCACCGGCGGGGTACTTCTCAACACTGAAGCTAATACGAATCCTCACAGAAGAGTACCATGAGTTGTGTTCTCAGGGCCCATCACAGGATGCCCTCACTGGTCACGGTGCTCATGACAAAAATGAGGGCTATGCGTAGTTTTTAGGGGTGCTGAATGTTTTCAAATGGGGAGCCCCCAACGCCAAGCAAAGTCAGGATTATCTAAATCCAGTGCAGAAAAGTGATGGAGCACCCTGCCCTAGCAGAGTGGCTGGTTTAAACCTTTAAAGCGTCCACCATTGGCTCGGGTGGGGCCTCAGCCAGCACCTGCATTATTGTGAGGGAAGTGAATAAAAAGGCCAGATGCTGCTGATGGCAGCCAGGGAGGGTAGGGACGGGGGAGGTGGCTAAGGCGGTGGCATGGGTAATAGTGAGCAGGAGGGGCAGGCAGGAGCTGCAGGCGCCTGGAGGTCTGGCTGGTTAGTGAGCACACGGCTCTGAGTGAGGGTAGGTAGGCTCCATACACCGAGCCCTCCTCCCCACTCCCTCTCCACCCTCTCTCTCTGAGACCTAGCTGCAGGCCACAGCTGGGGCTCTGAACTTTTCATAATCACCCCCTTATCTCCTGGGCAGTCCAGGACTGTGAGCGCCTCTTCCACATTAACGTCACAAGATTAGGGACACTAAGTCCTAAGCATACTCCGCTGATTGTGTTCCTTGATTAGCTAACCTTTTATTGTAACCTTCAAACAACATATGTACTGGCAACAGGGAATCTGCACTGATCTTTGAGTGGTTTATGAATGCTTTGTTCTTTTTTATTTTTATTTATT